GAGACCCGCTTCCTGACTGGGTCGGCGGTACCAAAGCAGCTGTACTTGTAATCCCGTGGGTGTGGCGGTTGGACCCACGCTGTGGCTCTGCTGTGTAAATCACTCCTGCCTATGGGCCTCGGAGGCCGCGCAGGGCCCTCCTGTCTCGGGAGCCATCTCCTGTACACCTTTCCTACGCTTACCTTCCACTGTCTCTAGGAATTCGTTCTTTGATGTAGCTCATTGGTGCCGCCACCTGCCTTGCAAGCGCAAGGTCCCAAGTTCAATCCTCAGTACAAAAAAAGAAGAAACCATGCAGCGATCAAGGCAGGTGTGTGGATGTTTTGGGTGACTTGGCATTGGAAAGATGCTGGGCTTTAGTTGTTATCTCCTGGTTGGAACATCCCACCCTGTGTTCTGTGTTCTGTTTTCCATCTGCTCTGAGATGGCAGGGCTTTTGTAGGGCAGAGACACCACCTGCATCAGCTGCCTGTTTTGTTGTGGCTTTTTGTATTTTGTCAAACTAGCTCAGAATTAAAGAGCATATTCATCAACCATCTCACAACCAAGCCAACGCTGACATTAGCCAGGCTTAGTGTTGCACATCTGTAATCCCAACAGCATGGGAGGCCGAGGCAGGAGGATTGCAAGTTCAAGTCCAGCCTGGGCAATTTAGCAAGACTCTGTCTCAAAGCAAAACATTAAAAAAAAAAATCTGCAGGGCCGGGGATTTAGCTCCCCCATCACGCCACCTGCCTTGCAAGCGTAAGGTCCTGAGTTTGATCTCCAACACCAAAAAAAAAAAAAAAAAAAAAAAAAAGTCTGCTGATTAGCTCAGTGTGCGGCCCTGGTTCCCTCCCCAGTACTACCACAAAAAGGCGGAACTAACCCAAACGTCTGTCAGTTGATAAATGAATAAGCAGAACATCGACCATGCCAGGTGCTAGCCCAGGCGAGGGCCTGGTAGGGGCTCCGGTGGGAGGCAGCAGACTGGCAGCGTGAGTCCTTCTCAGGCACCTCCTCTCAGGAAACGCTGAGGCCATGGCCTGTATCCACCCTCCCGACCTCCTCCAGTCTTACTGGTGTCTCAGCTGCCTCAGATCGAATCCTCATTTTATCTTTTTCACCCTTTCCAGATGGGCTCCCAGACTGCCTAGACCCCTCGTCTGGGCTGGAATCCCTCTTTCCAGGGGTGCCACCTCAAGGGCTGGGCTGTCCTGCCCAGTGTGAGGAACTAGGGCGATGCTTATTTTGTTTTGTTTTCTGTGTTTGGCCTTTGGGATCAGACCCAGGGCCTTTGCACTGAGCAACAACCCTGGACTCATTGATTGACTGGTTGATTGAATCAGATGATCAAATCCAAGGGCGCTTTGACACTGAGTTATATCCTCGGCCCTTTTTTATTTTTCATTTGGAGACAGGGTCTTGCTAAGTCACTAAATTGCCCAGGCTGGGCTTGAATTTGAGATCATCCTGCCTCAGCCTCCTAGAGCCCTGGAATGACAGGTATGTGCCACCACACCCAGCTTGTTTTGTTGAAGATTTCACATAATGCAAGATTTGCCTCTGGAACCACCTTGAGGTGGGCAATCTGGTGGTGTCCAGCACATTCCCATATTGCGATGTTGGATGTTGTGTACCCAGCTCTGGAACACTTTCCTACCAGTCACCTTCCCTCCCCTCCCCGCCCTGCAGCCCCTCACCCGCCTCCTTCTCCCAGGCCTGCTCCGTTCTGCAATGTTCTCCTCTGTCTCCCGCACCCCACACAGTTCTTGCACGTTTAGGACTTTTATGAGTTCCTGTTTGATTACATGGGCTGTAGCAACTGGACCCACATAACACATCTCCGTCTTGCTTTTCTAACCCATCTGCTTCCTGGATCACCTCCCTCATACGGCCAGGCTCCTCTACCTACTAACTCTCAAAAGCACTGCTTTGAGGGCCGGGGATTTAGCTCAGTGGTTCGGTGGCCTGCCTTGCAAGCACAAGGACCTGAGTCCTGTTTGATTACATGGGCTGTAGCAACTGGACCCACATAACACATCTCCGTCTTGCTTTTCTAACCCATCTGCTTCCTGGATCACCTCCCTCATACGGCCAGGCTCCTCTACCTACTAACTCTCAAAAGCACTGCTTTGAGGGCCGGGGATTTAGCTCAGTGGTTCGGTGGCCTGCCTTGCAAGCACAAGGACCTGAGTTCAATCCCCGGTGTACAAAAAAGACAGAAGGGGCTGCAAGACCAAAGAAAGCTGCCTGACGTGGTGGTGCACGCCTGTAATCTCCACACTCAGGAGGCTGAAGCAGGAGGATCACCACAAGTTTGAGTCCAGCCTGGGCTCCATGGTGAGTTCAAGGCCAACCTGAACTACCTACAGAGACCTTGTCTCAAAAAATACAAAACAGGGCCTGGGATTTTGCTTAGTGGTTCGGCCGCCTGTCTTGTAAGTGCAAGGACTCAAGTTCGATTCCCAGTACCAAACAAAAACAAAAACAAAAATCCAAACAAAACAAAGCAACAACAACAAAAAGAACAAAGAAAGAGGCTGACAGACCTAGGATTGCAGATTCTGATTTCTCAGGGACTCGGGGCAGGTGTCTTGAGTGGCAGCAAGAGAGAGGGCTCTTGGAAAACTGAAATGGGAGGAAGGGGCATAGATGCTGAGCACAGCAGTTGGTAGTGTGGTGCACACCTGCAATCCCAGCTACTTGGGAGGCTGAGGCAGGAGGATGGAGAGTTTGAGGCCAGCCTGGTGCAACTTAGCAAGACCTGGTCTCAATGAAAACAAACAACATTCTGCTGCCTGCCTTCCAAGCACAAGGACCTAAGTTCGATCCCTGGTACCAAAAAACAACAACAAAACCCAACCGAAAACAAGGTACTAAGAGGTCCGTCAGCTGAGCCGACCAACCTCACAGCTGTGTGGGTGGGGACATGCGCCAGGTCCCCGCCAAGATGGCTGTGCTCACGTTAAGCCAGGTCCCCTAAAGCAAAGGGTCAATGACTCGTGACGTGAGCAGGACAGGGCAGGGTGGGGAGGGCAGGGCGGCCCCCACTGCTCTCTGCAGCTGCAGCCTCCCTCAGCTTCGCTTGCTACCCGGTGGAAAGCAGAGGCTCTGCCCACCCCACTGCCTGCACACGTGGAGCAGAGCCGCTGAAGACCAGGCCAGCTGTGCAGTGACAACACAGCCAGGGGTCACTTTCTCTTTACTTGACATTCACCAAACCCCGAAGGCAAGGCTGGAAACAGCTACCTCTGGTTTCATTTTATAGGCACACTGGGGACTGAACCTAGGGCCTCCGCCCCGTGCTACACCCTTATCCCTCTTTATTATTTTGATATGGGGTCTCCCTAAGTTGCTATGCTGCCCAGGGTGAACTCAAGCTTACAGTCCTCCTGCCTCAGCCTCCCAGAGTGCTGGGATGGAAACAGTGGATACTACATGGCAGCCATCATTCTGGGTGCCATGTCACAACTCTGAGGGTCAGTTCTTTTTTCTTTTTTTCTTTTTTTTTTTTTTTTTTTTTGTATCTTGCTATGTCGTTCATGCTGGCCTTGAACTCACTACATCTCCCGACTGGTCTCAGACTCACAGAGATTCTCCTGCCTCAGCCTCCCAAGTGCTGGGATTACGGGTGTGCACCACCATGTCCAGCACTTCAACTCTCGAGTGTGAGAAGTTTGGGATTTTCCTAGTCATTTCCCTAAGGGGAAACGGCTGAATGTAGAAGGCTGGGATTCTATTTCCTTGAGGGGCAGGGAGTCTCACCTGTAAAGATGGTCATGGCACCTTGGACTCAGGAGAGTTACTGAGGACCCACACAGAGCACAGGGCAGGGCCTGGGATGAGTGGGGCATTCGCAGTCATTATCTCCTTTCTCTCTGCACATTACCAGTGTCATTTCTTCTCACTCTTCCCTGCTCAAGAACCTTCTATGGCTCTCCAGTACCCTCAGGGTAACATCCAAGTCCTTTAGGACATTGGCAACCTTTGAATTTTGATTTCCTCACCATCCGTCAGTGGGTCTCTGGTCCCAAACATTTCTGGTGACCATCTCTATCCCTCCCACTTTCTCATCTTCCTCTCTGAGAACCTGGGAGCCTAAAGTCCTCCCCACAGGACTCTGGAGATCACTCAGCACTTGGGGTCACTCAGGCAGGAAAGGGTTTACGTTGGCTCACAGTCCTGCTCTGAGGCTGAGGGGCCACATCTGGTATCGCCTTGCTGCGGGCAGAGTCCAGGGGTGGCCCTGACTGTGACAGGAATGAGGATTTCAGAAGCAGATGTCCTCAGCAAGGCCCCTCTCCACCCACACATGGCCTGCCTGGGGAACTCCAGCGCGGCAGAGAAAGAAAGGCAGGGAAAGAGTAAGGGGAAGGGGAAGCTGGGTCTCTGGCCCCACCGCAGGCAGCGCAGGGACAGAAACTACACCCTGAATGCAAGAATCTGGAACTGGGGGCCTGGACAATTTGTCCCTGAGCAGGTAAGGGGGCTGAATAATACATGTACTCCAGAGAGGGCTGTGGGCCTGGGTGGAGCCCTGGTCTCAAGGGAGGAAGGGGGCCAACCTCTGAGAGGCTGAGGCAGGAGGACTGTAAGTTTGAGTCCAGCCTGAGCAGCAAGGCAAGACTCTGTCTCAAAACAAAATGAAAATGGGCCAGGGATTTAGCTCAGTGGTGCTGCGCCTGCCTCACAAGTGCAAGGTCCTGAGTTCAACTCTCCATACCAAAAATAAAGAAATAAATAAAATGAAAAACGGCTGGGGATGTCGCTCAGTGGGAAGGTCCTGGGTTTGATCCCCAGTAGAAGAGGAAGAGGGAGAGGTAGAGCACTGGAGACTCAGATTTCTGGGTCCTGGGGAAGATATGGGCTAGGAATTTGCACACTGATCCCATAGAAGAAAGGAACTTAGGGGCTCCCTGAAGTTGAACTTCTGCCTACTGGGTTCTCAGAAGATAGGAAGTGGTGGTTTGGGGTGAGGTCCATGGCAAGTGGCCAGTCAGACCCAGGGCAGAGCGGAGCACCATTGCTCCTGCTGCTTGGACTTTGACAGCCACCTGCCTGCGTGACGGCCGCACCCAGCAAACCTTCCAGCCATGCTGGCACTCAGACCTGACCCTAGGAAGGAAGAGACTGGAGGTAGGGTCCTTGGCCGGTGGGGCAGGCTGGGCGGAAGGCAGAACAGAACATTAGCAGGAAGCACGGGAAGAGGGGAAGTGTCGCCAGCTAGGCCCAGCTGGCTTTGGTCAGAATCCCGCAATGGCTTCTGCCTGGAGCCAGCGCAGCCAGGGAGGCAGTGTGGAGGCCGAGATCCCTCACACCTGAGCACTGGCTCCTCACCTGCAGGCCCAGAGACTGCCCTGGCCCCTGTGCTTCCCCTCAGGCCCAGCATGTGGAGCTACCTATCCTTTCTGCCCATCTTCCTGGCACTTTGGGCTAACGCTGGCGTCTGGATTGTGTAAGTGTCAGAGGCAGGGTGTGTGCCAGGGTCTGAGGGAGAAGGCTGGGCCCGGACCCCAGGTCTGAGGAGGAGGCTGGGCCCGGACCCTGGGTCTGAGGGAGGAGGGTGTAGGATGTCGAGATTTGTTTTGTTTACAGAATGAAGCGTTATGTTTGGTTAACAGAAAGACAAGCTGTCCTTGAACACCCCATACCTGCTCCCTTGTGTTCCTCCCAACTTAGTTTTGCAGTTGCTGTCGTCAACGGGTCTGTGAACCTCACCCATGGCTTCCCTTACATCAGGTAGTTGGGGTATGTGGGCACCCACAGGAGCAAGTGGTGTGCATTGGCTTGGAGGTCCCACAGCATGACAGATAACTCCTGTCTTCTCCAGTATCTGTGGCTCCTACCCTCCTCAGAGCTGCATCTTCAGCCAGGTTCTCAATGTGGGGGCTGCTGCGGGTAAGTATTCCCACCCCTTTCCTGGTTCTGCTACCCCAACCGGCCAAGCAGCACCCTGCCTCCCCCACCCCTGACCTGGGGTCCAGGCTCAGCCTCCTTCCTCAGACTTGGGGGTCTGGACCCACCCAGCCTCCCCAACTTCTGCTAAGGACCGGGTTGTCTCTGGTCTCTGCCCACTTCCCTCTCTTCCCAGCTGCCTGGATCTGCATTGTGCGTTATTACCAGCTCCGGGACTGGGGCGTCAGAACATGGCTTAACAAGCTGACCCTGTGGTCTGGGCTCTTCTGTGCTCTAGGGACCTCGGTGGTTGGTAACTTTCAGGTGAGACGTAGCGGGCATAGTGGACTACAACTCCCGGCGTGCCTCGCCACCAAAGCCCACTTGCTCTGTGGGCCTGGCTCACACTGACTGCTGGGACTTGTAGTCCCCCCATGGCTTGCAGCTTCAGTGTTGGGCCCAAGGCTGTCAGGCAGCCCTGTGTCCACTGGACCTTGTGGAGCCCAAAAAGGCTGGGAGACTTTTGCGCCATCTTCCTTCCTTACTCTCGTTTATTGATGAAATCAGCCTGACTCCCCACTTCTTGGCTTTTGGCACACTGGATGTGTGCGCTCTCCCTGTAGGAGTCGGAAGGCACGGTCCCTGTGCACCAGCTCTCTAGGGGGGTGGTCCTGAGGTACCCCAGAGTCTTCCCATCAGCTGCTGTCACAGCTCAGACATGAACTCAGATTCACTAACCCTAGAAAATATAGGTACCTGTAGAGCGAATGAACCAAATAGTGAGAAGAATCTGACTGATTAATTTTTGCTGTTTTATGTTATTGTCACATCTCTGACACTCAGCCTCTCTTGCTGAAATGAGAGCTGGGGGAGACCCCAGGTCTCAGGCAAGTTGGTGCCGTCTTATTTGCATATCGGTTCATTGGCTCCTCCATTTATTCCTGTGTCCCTTGCTCCAGTACCGGGACATTCCTGCCGCAGCGCTTCCTTCCCTCAGGAGCTGCCTAGAGACATTTCTTTGATTGCCTCTCACTCCCCTGAAATGTTTAATATTTAAACGCTTTTACATATACTATGTGCTGTAAGTTACACAGCATTGTAATATCTAACAACTTGTACCCCCAAGAACCGATTTTTGCCCCTTGGAGGCAATGTGTTTCCCCTGTGAGGACGCAACCCTTGTTCCGCTCACGCTTCATCTCAACTCTCCTTCCCTCTCCCAGGAAAAACACCAGAAGCCCACGCACCTGGTGGGGGCCTTCCTCGCCTTTGTGGTGGGCAACATCTACTTCTGGCTGCAGCTCCTTCTGTCCTGGCGGGTGAAGAGCCTGCCCCAGCCCGGAGAGCCCTGGATCCGGCCGCTGCGCCTGGGCCTGTGCACCTTGTGCAGCCTCCTCATCGTGGCCAGTATCCTCCCGGGGCTGGGTGGTTCCCACCCTTGATGTGCGCCACCGTGGGGTCCCTTCCCATCTCTGGGTCTCCACACAGGACCAAGCTGCCTCTTGGCAAAGCGCTGACACCGAGCTGAAGCTCCAGACTGGAGTCCCAGCTTCTCCCCATAGGAGTTGGGGGACGCTTCCACTGGTTTCTTAAATTCCCGTGCCTCAGTTTCCCCTCTCACCGAGGGCAGGGTTGTGAGGAGTGGATGGGATGGTACGTGGGAAGAGCTCAGCTCCCTGCCTGGCCTAGCACTCAGCACCTTGGGGGAGCTGCTGCAGGCCTGGATCAAGCATGGACACAGGCTCAGGCAGGTTGAGCCCAACCAAGCCCTGGCGGGCTTCGTGGTGGCCTGCAGGTGGCCCCTGAGAAGTCTCCAGAGCAGCAGGGCTGGTCACAGCCTGGCCGCAGGGAGCCAGGCAAGTGGGCTGCAGGGGCCGGTGGGAGCCAGTTGGTCCTGCTGCCGCGGCTGCTGTAGGCTGTGCAGGGATGTCTGGGCCAGGCATCACAGCTAGTAGGAAAGCCAGGGCTGGCTCTGAGCTGACGGAGAGGATGGGTTAGAGGCCGGGCTGCTATGGGGGCACTGTGGAGTCTCTGCAGACGGGAAGGCCTGGTGTGGAGGTGTATACCTCCCTCTCGCTGTGAGATCCACAGGGCCAGGGTGCTGCCAGCCTCGTCAGCCACCTGTCCCCACTGTCTGGCACACAGAGGCCTTAGGGTCCCCTGGGTGAATGGAATGGTGTCTGTCTCAGCTAGCCTGAGAGGCGGGCTTGGTCTAGACTGGAGGAGATGAGGGAAAGAGGACCCTCCAAGGGGAGGTTCAAGAAATAAGTTGTCCCATGAGGCCCAGAAACAACTTTCTGAGGTCTCAGAGCTCGGAGGATACCCGCATTGCTGGGGTAGAAAAAGATTTTTTGTTTGGTACCAGGGATCGAACTCAGGACCTTGCACTTGTGAGGCAGGTGGCAGTACCACCAGGCTAAATCCCCAGCCTTCTGTGAGTTTTGAGACAGGGTTTTACTATGTATTCCAGGCTGGCCTGAAACTCACAGCAATCCTCCTGCATGTTTGGATTACAGATGTGCACCACCATGCCCAGCTCCTGGTTTTTTCTTTTTCTTTCTTTTTTTTTTGGTACCGGGGATCAAACTCTGGTCCTTGCACTTATGAGGCAGGTGGCGGCAGGACTGAGCTAAACCCCTGGCCCTGGTTTTGTTTTCCAAGACAGGGTCTCTCTTGATGTTCCAGGCTGTCATTTAATTTGATCCTCCTGCCCCAGCGCCCCCAGAGCTAGGATCACAGGTGTGCGCCACCATGCCTGGCCAGGAAATAGATCTGGAGGCTCTGAGGAGCCAGGGCAGGGATAGGGCAGAGAAGTAGAGGTGGACAGGGCAAGGGGTGGCCAGTGGGCAGGGTGGGGACATGGCGGGGGGATTCCTGTGTGTCTGCCATGGCACCAAGTGCATGGCAGCAGGGCTTTGGAGGTGGGGATACCAGGAAGGCGAATCTGGGGGGAGATCAGGTCCTGTGGGGGGCCCAGGGGCAGATTTAGGAAACGGTCTGGAGGGGCTGGCAATGGCGTCGAGGGGAAATGGCAGGGCCCTCAGGGGATCAGGAAAGGTCAGCTGCACAAGGAGCACTGTGGAGCCAGTGTGGTGGTGCTCGCCGTAATCCTGGCACTCAGGAGGCTGAGGCAGGAGGATTACTGAGAGTTTGAGGCCGGTCCGGGCTACATCGTGAGTTGAAGGCCAGTGTGGACTACCTAGGCCTGGTCTCAACCTAACAAAAGGAATCAGTGTTTTCAACACTGGGGCTGCACTACTAATGGCGCCTGTACAGAAAGGATCCTGGGACAGACGGAGACCTGGTCTCCGGTGCGACCAGGGCCAGGGCCACAGGGGTGTGGGTGGAAGTGGCGCCGAGCACGACCCCTTCACGGAGCAGGTGGCCCTTAACCCGGCCCAGTGCTCGTCCTCCACAGTTGGCCCCTGCGCTCCGCCGCGGCCGCCTGTGAATGGGCCCTGGCCATGCTGCTCTTTGTGCTCTTCGGCCTCTTCGCCGTGGACTTTTCTGGCCTGGACGGCTGCACCCTGTGCCTGCGGCCAGCGCCAGGCCCCGTCCCCAGCCCCGGCCCCAGCCCCAGCCCGTCGCCCCGACACCCCCGCAGGTGCTCAGAACCGGCCTCGCTGGCGCCTGTTGAGGAAGCGGGCTGGAGCCGCCCGCGGGACCCCCAAGAAGAACCGTGGGGGCTCTCCAGCCCAAGGGACTGCGCTGCGGGTCCCTCCTGTCCCGCGGTCTAGGAGGCTGGAGCCGCTGCGACGCCCATCCCGCCTCTGCAAGGCGGGGCGCCCAGGAAGAGAGAGGCGGAGGCCAGCTTCTGTCCCTGATCAAGGCTATTTATTATTATTTGTTGTTGTTGCCGCTGGCAGAATCAGAGACACGGACGCAGGCAGGATCACGCGAAACCAGAACTCCTTCCGGGAGAGCAAATCCGTACAGAAGGTTGTGGGGACGGGGGAGGTGGGGGAGGGGGGCCCAGGAAGGGGAGGTGGGGACGACACAGGGACAGAGGGCCCTGTCCGGATCTGCTAAGCCACCCCAACCAGCTCCCATCCCTCCCCCACCCGCAGAGAGATTGATCAATAAATAAAATAATAAATTAATCAATAAATAAAATAGAAAGAGCTCCCTGCCCCCCTCCCCGTTGGGCACAGCCCTGGACCCCATCCCTGCAGGGCAAGGCCGGTTTCTGCGTCCCCCTCCCGATGGACTCCTTGGGCCTTATTTACAGATTCACAGTTGGGGGGCAGGGAAGGGGGGTGGAGGGGGATCCCCTCCTTCCCTGGGCCCCTGGGGTCAGGGCAGAGGGGTCCCGTTGGTGGCCAGGAGTTTCTTGTCCTTGGGGGGACCTCGGCGGGGAGAGCTGCTCAGCTCAGGGTCCGGGTGGCTGGGTGGGGGCTGCAGGCTTCGGGGTGGGGTGCCAGCAGGCCGGGGCTGTGCCCCATTCTTCTCATCTGTGGGAGAGGAAGTTGGGAGTGGGCTGCGGTACCTGCTGTGGGTCTTGGGAAGCCTGAGGGGTGGAGGTTTCCATCCATGTCACCTCGTACCCCAGAGGTGGCAGCCAGGGGGACAAGATCACCAACAGACGGCTTTCTTGCACGGGGACTGCATCCCAGGGCCCCCAAACCCATGTGGCACTGGAAACTGGGCCAAGTTAGTCCGGATGAGGCCTGGGCCCAACTTCAGAGGACTCTCACCGGGCGTGGTGGCACACACCTGTAATCCCAGCACTCCGGAGGCTGAGGCAGGAGGATGACCGTGAGTTTGAGACTGGCGTGGGCTACATAGTGAGTTCAGAGCCAGCCTGAGCTATAAAGTGAGACTTGGTCTCAAAACAAACAGGCTCTAAAGAGGACTCCCAGGGACAGCTGGGGGGCGGGTGACACAGAGTCCACTGCTAGGTCTCGGGACAGGTGCTCTGAGGAATGGTGCTGCGTGTGGCTCAGGGGTTGCAGGCCAGCTTGGCTTGGTCTCCCCAATTCCCCGCTGAGGCCACTTCCTGTTGGGCACTGCAATGGGGAGTCGGGTAATTTCAAGGGGTCTGAAATGCCCCCTCCAGAGGCAGATCAGCTGCTCCAGATGCTGATTACTGGGGAAAAGGGGTGCTGGCCTGTTGCCAGAGCAACCAGAAAGGCTGTTTCCAAGGCACCCTATCTTTTTTATCCCCCCAGTACTGATGAGCTGAATCTAGGGCCTTCATCTTGAGCTACTTCCCCTGCCCTTAGGGTTTCTCTAACTTGCTCAGGCTGGGATTGAAATTGTGATTCTCCTGCCTCAGCCTCCCAAAGTGCTGGGATTACAGGTGTGTGTGACATTCTCTTTATGAGACAAGTGATGAAGTTTCCTGGGGTGCCTGCTGGTTGTACATCTTTTGAGGGGGACCCTTTTAGCATCCCTGGTGGCTAAGGCAAAGGGATCCAGTGGGCCTGATCTGTTCTTTGGTTGTGCCTAGCAACCAAAAGGGATAGGAGGGTTTCTGACCTGGGTGCTATTGACATTTGGGGCCTGTGTGGTGAGGGCCATCCTGTGAGCTGCAGGACCTGATCCTGCCCGTGAGGTGCCACTGCACCCTTCTGCCATCCCCACTGAAGACATCTAACAGCCAGCCTGGCTTTCCTCTACAGCCTGCTCTTCCTCTGCCAAGGTACAATTTTTAGCTTGTTTTTTCCTGTCACCTGGCTCAAGCTCACTAGTAAGGCCAAGGACCCGTGACCACATAGCCTGGTGGGCAAGAAGATGGCTTGTGCGGTGATTAGGGTTATGGACTTTAGCCAGGGAAGCTATCCTGGATTATCTAAGTATGTCCAATTTAGTCCGAGACCTCAGAAGAACTTTGCCAGCCAGGTATGGTGGTGCCCACCGGCAATCCCAGCACATGGGGAGGCTGAGGCAGGAGGATGGCCAAGTTGAAGCCCTGCCTGGGCAATTTATCGATACTTTGTATCTCTCTTTTTTTTTAAAGAAGGGCAGGGAACATAGCTCAGTGCAAAGGCCTTAGGTTTAATCTCCAGATTGGGGAGGGGGAGAAGAAACTTTCCCAGCTAAGGTCAGGTCAGAGCACAGTCAGCATCACAAGCTCTGGGGACAGGAAGGGGCCACAGGCAGGGAAGTGGGTGTGGTCAAGCAGAGAACAGCCTGCGCCCAGGTTTAAGATGCCCTCAGCCTGGTGAGATTCACACAGGCCTTCTGACTTCTGGGACTGAAGGGTGACAAATCTGTGTGTGCCAGCCACCAAGTTTGTGGTCATTTGTTTATGGTGGCTACAGGGGCAACGACAGGGCAACTCTGGAATGGTATTCTTTTTAGTTTGTTTAAAAAAAAATTTTTTTGACACAGGTAGCCCAGGCTGGCCAAGGTGATCTTCCTGCCTCAGACTCTTGCATGGGTGCTAGGATTTCTGGGGTGCAGTCTTCAGTTATAAGGCTGCAGTGGCTCCAGCTCCATTGCTGGGTCCCTTTGCCTGTGCTCTCTCATGGGGAGGGAGACACCTTCCAAGATGCGGCTTCTAGGCCAGGTGTGGTGGCGCACGCCTGTGATCCCAGCATTCAGGAGGCTGAGGCAGGAGGATCACTGTAAGTTCGACACCAGCGTGGGCTACATAGTGAGTTCCAGAGCAGTCTCAACTACATAGTGAGACCCTGTATCAAAAAACAAAACAAAAAAACCAAAGCAAGCTGCGGCTGCTGGGCTCCCCAGGGCAGATGACTGATCCAGGGGGTTCTGTGTCCCTCACAGCCTCCCTCACTGCACCCTTCAGGTCTGTTCCTGGGAGAGGCGGCTGAATGTTGTGCCCCTCAAATCTATATGCTTAGACCATACCTCCATGGTGTTAGGAAAGAAGACCTCTGGGAGGTGATTAACCATGAGGGTGGAGCCCTTGTGAATAGAATTAGTGCCCTTATGAAAGAGACCTCATAACTGGGTGTGGTGGCACATGCTTGTAATCCAGCAGTTTGGGAAGCTGAGACAGGAGGATTGCAGGTTCAAACCCAGCCTAGGCAACTTAGAGGCACTGTTTCAAAATAAAAATAAACAAGGACTGGGGAGGGAGCTCAGAGTAAGTGAAGACCCTGGGATCAATTGCCAGTACACTCCCCCAAAAAAGGGCCAGGGATTTAGCTCAGGGGTTCTGGCACCTGCCTCATAAGCATAAGGACCCAAGTTCAATCCCTGGCACCAAAAAAAAAAAAAAAAAAAAAAAAAAGAAAGAAGAAAGTAAAAAGGCCCAGGTGAGCTCCCTGCTGGTGTTCCTGCCAGGGACCAGCAAGAAAGCGTACACTGTAAACCAGGGCACGAGCCCTTGCCTGACACCAAGTGTCAGGGCCGTGGTCTTGGACTTTTAGCCTGCAGGTGGTGAGTGATACATTTCTGTTGTTCCTAAGTCACCCAGTTTATGGTCCTTTCTTATCACAGCCAGAACAGACTAGGACACTTTGGCAATAAACGTGGCCTTGGCCTGGCCTCTGCTTTGCCAGGGGAATTAGGCCTTAGCAACAAGTCCGGCTGGAGTGCCAGTTCTTGGGTGCCAGGGACATCAAAGTCCTGCAGAGGGTGACCAAGTTTCTCCAGTTTTGGCCCAAATGTCCCTGGCAGATAGGGATGGCTGGGGACCCACTCCAGAGCGGAGACTTGACCTCTGTGGCAGAAGGCCTGGGTGCCGCCCACCACCACAGCCCCACCCACCTGCCAGGGCCTGCACGGATGGCTGGTCATGCGTGCTCAGCAGCTGCGCCTGGATGGTCTCCACCACACGCTTGAACCGCCGGCTGGGACCTGCAGGACAGTGGGCGAGAGGTGCTGAGGGACCTCGGCCTGCAGGGCCTGGGACCTCGGCCTGCAGGGCCCAGCTCCTCCTCCACGACTCAGCTTCCCTGGTGCTGGTGGGGCCGGCACCAGTCCGTGGCTTACAAGCGGATCTCCCCACTGTTATTTAAGAAATGCCGTGAAACTCACACACCTTCCATTCAAACTAACAACAGGTGCTGGTTTCTGTTTACAGAGAAGCTGTTGCTTTTCCTGTCTAGTTGATGCTGTGAAGAGCCAGAGATGTAAAAGAAAAAATAGTGAAAGAGAAAAAATCTTAAGATGGAGAAAGGTCTACTCTGGGAGACTGAGGCAAGAGAAGCACAAGTTCAAGCCCAGCTTGGGCAACTTAGTGAGATCCTGACTCAAAAAAAAGGGCTGGGAGAGCTGGGGATTTAGCTCAGTGGTTCTGTGCCTGCCTCGCAAGCACAAGGTCCTGAGTTCAATCCCTGGTACCCCCCCCAAAAAAAAGGGCTGGGCATGTCACTCACTGCAAAGACCCTGGACTCAACCCCCAGTAGAGCCCTCCTCATCCCCCCAAAATAGAAGAGTCTTCATAGTAGTCTTTAAGGGGGAGAATAAAAAGAGCCCTACACAGGCATGGTGGCACACACCTGTAATCCCAGAACTTGGGAGGCTGAGGCAGGAGGATCACTGTGAGTTCAAGACCAGCCTGGGCTATATAGTGAGTTCCAGGTCAGTCTCAACTACATAGTGAGACCGTGTCTCAAAACACAAAGAGCCCTAATTTGAGTGAAGGAATACCTGACTGTTTCACTGCCTGCTGCCTGATTTAGAAACCCTCCGAACAAGCTTGTCTCCTGATGGTGACATATTAAGATCAATGACAAAGGGCAAAAATAGAGGTGTCCCTTGTTGTATCAAGGCCCGCCAGCAGGACTCAGGAACCAAGTAGAATTGGAGGCAAGCAATTCCTGTGGTTTTCATCTCTTGTGCCAATTCTTGATTGGCTTTGGCTGCCTGGTGTTAAAGTTGCCAAGGCAACAATGAAGCTCAGCA